GGTGGTACCCTTCCTTTTCTATAGTCTTTGGCTGAGCAGCCAACTATCCAATTCAATTCAATTCAATTCAATTTAATTCAATTTGTATAGTGCCTTTAACAATGGACTTTGTCACAAAGCAGCTTTACAGAAATGTATAAATTCCGGATATAAATTTTTAATTTATGAATTTATCCCTAATGAGCAAGCCAGAGGCAATGATGGCAAGGAAAAACTCCCTGAGGCAACATGTGGAAGAAACTTTGAGAGGAACCAGACTCAAAAGAGAACCCATCCTCATCTGGGTGACATTGAGTCAAAAAGTGCTAATTGTGATAACAGGAACTTATTAGCTTATGAGCAATTTATGATTATGAGCATCAGAGTCTGAATTCATTATAGTTTTAACGTAAAGTCTATTGTATCTAACTGAAGTCATTAACTGTTCCATGATGGAAGTCTGAGTGCAAGCTGTTCTTAGCAATTGTAGTCCTGAGGCAATCCAAGGAAGAACATCCACAGCCATCTTTTTGGTCCCTTAAAATGAGGCTCCACATACACTGTATGGCCAAAAGTATGTGGACACCTGACCTTCACACCCATATGTGCTTGTTGATCATCCCATTCCAAAACCATGGCCATTAGTATGATGGTTGTCCCCCCTTTGCTGCTCTAACAGCCCCCACTCTTTTGGGAAGGCTTTCCACTAGATTTTGGAATGTGCCTGTTGGGATTTGTTCATTCAGCCACAAGAGCATTAGTGAACTTATGCACTGATGTCAGTGCATGAGTTCACTAATGCACTGATGTCAGTGCATTAGTAAGTAAGTAAGTAAGTAAGTAAGTAACCTTTATTTAACCAGGATAAAAACTCATTGAGATCAAATCTCTTTTACAAGAGTTACCTTGCCAAGAAGGCAGCAAAAGACACAACAACAATTAACACAACAACAACACTTAAGCAAACAAACAACAACAACAACTCAGTGAACTCATGCACTGACATCAGACAGCATTCCAGTTCATTCCAAAGGTGTTCAGTGGGGTTGAGGTCAGGGCTCTGTGCAGGCCACTCAAGTTCTTACACACCTACCTTGAAAAACCATGTCTTTATGGACCACACTTTGTGCACAGGGGTATTGTCATGCTGGACCAGGTTTGGGCTAAGTCCCTTAATATATGACCATACTTTTGGCCATATAGTGCTGTAATTCCTACACTGTTCACCCAATTCAGATGTATGTACCCTCAAATTAAAGCTGAATGTGCACTTTGACTTTAACTTTCATTATTTAATTTCACCTCCAGTATACTGTGGTAGTTTAGTATACAGCTAAAATGAGTAGTATATGTATTAAGTGAAAAACTAATAGAAATGTTTGTTTCTGGTTGTATTTATTGTGCACACCCAGGGCACATGAACACAGAACACCAGAACACAGAGACACATCTGTCATGAAGTGAACACCATGAAGGCCATCATCAACAAATGGAGAAAATACTAAAAAAAACTAATCAGGCAGGCTGCCAAGAGCCCTACAGCAACATTAAAGGAGCTGCAGGAATATCTGGCAAGTACTGGTCACTCCCTGCAGGTGACAGCAACCTCTTGTATTCTTCACATGTCTGGGCTATGGGGTAGGGTGGATAGACAATAGCCCTTTCTCACAAGAAAAACATCCAAGAACACCTACATTTTATCAAACCATGTGGAAAAATGTGTTATGGTCTGATGAAACCAAGGTAGAACTTTTAGTGCGTCATTCTAAAAGATATGTTTGGTGCAAAAACAAGACAGCTTATCACCCAAGAAAACCATACCCACGGTGAAGCATGGTGATGGCAGCATCATGCTATTGGGGCTGCTTCTCTTCAGCTGGGACTGGGGCTCTAGTCAAGATAGAGGGAATCATGTGTAGCCCCAAATACCAATCTATTTTGGCACAAAACCTGCCAAAAGGCCTCTGTTAGACAGCTGAAGATAAAGAAAATTTTCACCTTCTAGCACGATAACGACCCAAAGCACAAATCAGAGTCAAGGAAAGGAATGGCTTTAGAAGAAGAAGCTCAAAGTTTTGGAATGGCCCAGTCAGAGCCCAGATCTAAAACCTAAGGAAAACCTAAGGAATGACTTGAAGAGTGCTCTGCACTGGAGCTCCCTTCACAATTTAATAGATCTGGAGCATTTTTGCAAGAATGAGTATAATAAAATTGCCAAATCACAATGTGCTGTAAGTTATTGTATGTTTTTCTTTTTCATTCATTTTTTTTCACTAAAACATTTCTATTTGTTATACATTTATATATAGTTCTGTCATTTAATTACAATTTCAATTAATTTTTTAGAGTCTTCCCCTTCATTTTTGATTTCTTGGTTTGAAACAAGCCCAAGCATCGAAAGCTTACAAATAGTCTGATAAGTACCAGCAGCTTGTTTTCTTTTTTTAATCTGCCTTTGGCCCCCTCTACATTGCATAAAGGCAATCAAAATTTGCCAGTTGAGAGAAACTACATGTGGCAACAGGGGAATAGTCAAGCATCAGATGTAGATGGAGAGAGGAGTCAGGCTGCGGCCTAATTATATGCTTGTTTATAAACTCTTCAGACTAAGTGTTAAACTGGGACTGTCTGACTGTGCATGGTAGTAGTATGTTTTCAGTGTGAGCCCTGTAATATAGAAGTGCAAAACCACTGTGACGAACAGATCAGAATAATATATCAGGCTTTCTGTTAAGTTATGTAATGCTAGGTGTAGGTCACTGTACCTTTTAACACAGGTCTGCGTGTGCATGCTGTAGTATGTTCCTTGAGGACACACACAGCCCTCCTCACACTCATCTCCACAAAACTGTGGGAGTGACAGAGAGAGGCAGTGCCGTTCACAAGATGACACACACACGCCATATTCCATTGTTGGCGGACATGTCACAGCTGCACAACATATAGAGGTCTCAGCATGGGACTGGGAGATAAAAGACTTTAAAGTTTTGGTAGTGCTGATTAGGAGTTACATAAAAGCATTCACATTCACTCACCACATTCAGGCACATGTGAACGGAACTCAATGATGATATTGTGCTTCCTACAGGTGCGTGTGTAATGGGCAAGAGCAGAACAGAGACACGATGTTCCACACCTGCACACATCTGCACGGCACTGCAGCTGGAAGGCCATGGGACTCACATGCTCATGACACACAGCAAATACCTCCTGCATCAATACGTCACACTTCTCCACAGCATACGACGCTGAATCCAGGCAGTATAAATATGCAGACACATATGCAGCTTAATGATTCAAGATTCAAGATTCAAAGAACTTTATTAATCCCAGGGGGAAATTGCTTAAATTGTAACTGATATGTAACTGTAACTGATACATATGTAACTGATATGTAACTGATATGTAACTGATCCCAATTAGGCTGTGGGCCAAGCCTCGAAAATGTTCATTTCATCCATCCCTGGCTCTCGAGTACATTGTTTTTTGTATCCACATTTAAAAATTTGTGTTAACATGGTAAAAATGTTGGCAACAAAGATTGCAAAAAAACAACAACAAAAAGAAGTTTATCGCAGTTTGTACAGGCAATATTGCAGGACATCTATATAAAGAAATTATAATCAGAGCTTGTCTATGATACATCAAGAGAAAGTAGGCCAATCAGCTTACTTGTCGGGTGGTGACAAAACCACAGTGTAAACATTACACATGTGAATAATGGAGCAATGAAACAATGTATTTTACTGCAAAATTATGCTTTTTTAATCTCTCTAATTTCCAAGAAATGCAAAGCCAGAAGGATCAGTATGAAATGTCATGTATAACCTCTTCTAAACACTTCTGCCTATCACATTACCCTATCTTGTCTACCACAGTGGCAGCAGCAGTGACAATAACAGCCTAAAAATTCTTAATAAACTGTTTTATTCTATTAAAAATATACACTCACCCTCCACTTTAATAGGAACATGTGTACACCTGTCATTTATATGGTTATCCAATCAAACAATCATGTGGCAGCAGCACAATGCATAAGATCATGCAGAGACAGGTCAAAAAGCTTCAATTAATGTTCACATCAAACATCAGAATGGGGAAAAAGTGTGATCTTTGTGGCTTTAACCATGGCATGGTTGTTGGTGTCAGATGGGCTGGTTTGAGTATTTCAGAAACTACTGATCTCCTGGGATTTTCACACACAATAGTCTCTAGAGTTTAAACAGAATGGTGCAAAAAAAAAAAAAGTGAGTGACAGTTCTGTGGGTGGAAATGCCTTGTTGATAAAAGAGGTCAGAGAAAAACGGCCAGATTGGTTCAAGCTGCCAGGAAGTCTATAGTAACTCAAATAATCACTCTTTACAACAGTGGTGAGCAGAAAAGCATCCCAGCATGCACAAAATATTGAACCTTGAGGAGGATGGCCTCAACAGCAGAAGACCACATTGGTTTTCACCCCTGTCAGCCAAGAACAAGAATCTGAGGCTAACATGGGCACAGACTCACCCAAATTGGACAGTTGAAGATTAGGAAAAAAATCAGCTAATCTTTTTCCAGTCTTCAACTGTCCAGTTTGGGTGAGTCTGTACTCATGATAACCTCAGGTTCTTGATCCAAACTGAAAGGAGTGGAACCTGATGTGATCTTCTGCTGTAGCCCATCCACCTCAAGGTTTGATGTTTTGTGCATTCTGAGATGCTTTTCTGCTCACCATGGTTGCTAAGAGTGCTTATTTGAGTTACTATAGATTTCCTGTCAGCTCAGACCAGTCTGGTTATTCTCCTCTGATCTCTCTCATCAACAAGGTGTTTCAGCCTGCAGACCCTCTGCACACAGAATGTTTTTCACCATTCTGTGTAAACTCTAGAGAATTGTGTGTGTGAAAAAACTGTAAGAATAGCGGTTTCTGAAATACTCAAACCAGCCCATCTGGCAACAACAACCATTAAAGTCACAGGAATCACACTTTTTCACCAAGTTCTTTACCTGTATCTGTATGATGTTATTCAGCAATGGCAGCTTGGCAGTGCTGGGATTTGAACTCATAACCTTCCAGTTGGTAGTCTGATGTTTTAACCACTGAGCTACCACTGTTGTGGTACCACAGCACATGGCAGCTACCACTGCATTATGCTGCTGCCACATGATGACTTCTTGGATAACTGCATAAATGAGCAGGTATACAGGTGTTCCTAAAGTTAAAGTTAAATCGGACAGTGAGTGTATGTGTGAGAAAGAGAGGATGAGGTTTTTGTTATCAAGGCTTACAAGAAAAGCATGTGAGTGGGCAGAAAATGGGCATAAATGTAAAATATTAGCATGAAGAAGAATCTAAAATGGTTTGCTGCATGCATGTAGCCTCCAATTCAACTGGCCCTGTAATCAAACTTACAGAAAAAAAGTTGGACCAAGTTTCATCTTTGTGCACATCAATGGTTGAAACTTAACACAATTGAAAGTGTAGTTGCCGAAAATGTGTTTTGGGATACACTGGCTAATATTGGGTTCCACAGGGAATGCTTTAGCCAACTTACAAAAAAGATAAACACTGAATGTAACAAACATTGAATATTTTATTACAAAAAATTTTGGCGTTGTATTTTAATACAGACTAAGAGAAGACTAAGAAAATATATCCAAACACTCATGCTGTATGTTCATCATATGTGCACGGCTTTCCTAAAGAGCTCCACAACTCCTTCAATAACCTGTGAATCATGACACATTTCCATATCTTAACCTTATATTTACAATATGAGAACCTTGGACATGAATAAAAATATATACCAAATGTAAACGTAACAAACATTTCGTTGAATGACTTTGCATAGTAATCTGTCTAAACCAAATTGCCTGTGTGTGTCTAAGCAAAGAAAATCTCTATGCTAACATAGCGACCAAACTGTTTACTTGTTTACTTATGAAAAAAGGTGCAAATATACAAACTCAGAATGGCAACAATCACCACTGCAATGGCAAAAAAATTATGCCAGTATAAATGAAGCATGAGACAGTTTTGACTCAATCCTAAGCCAGGGATCGATCAATTTAAAACAGACTGCGAGGCCCGCCACCTAAATCAAGTCATTTCACATACACCCAGATTATCATTTCTCTAAAAGTGTGTGTGTGTGTGTGTTACCGGCTTGCTGATGAGTATCACATGGATCCAGCTGAGGCAAACTGGGCCGTGGCATGCAGGCTGATGACAAGCGCCAAGCATTCCCAAACAAGTTTGGAGAGCTCTCTATCATGCCTGAGGGTGCACTAAAATGCATGCATTCATACAACAGACAAATCAAAACACAGACAAACACAAGACATTGCTAGATGGAAGAGACCATGATTTATAGTGCTGTAGTTTACTGTTAACACATTTGTTTAATGCCTTGACATTTGCCATAGAAGCAGGAGAATAAATGTTTCAAATCAAGTGTACAAACAGCCTACATTACATCAGATTGAATCTGTCCCACTGTAGTCTTCAAATAGGAAAATTTTCCATACAAGCGCAGTATCCACTCATCACAAAAAGATAAACAAAGTGTGTCAATCAGTGTAAAGGTAAAATGTTATCTGTGGCCAGCAACTTTGGGATTTACACAGGAACTGAGAGTTGAAGACATAGAAGGTGTGTATTTATAAAATAGGATGAAACACAAGATACTCACAGAAAGTCATCCTGTATGTTGCCATTGAAGGTACCACACAGCCCCACTGTGTCATCCCTCCACAGTTCCCCAAGCTGCAAGTACAGGCGGAACTCTTTCCAGTTGTACTGTAGCTGTAAACCCTGCACTGTCTTTACCTGGACAAACATGGATGACAGCTCCTGGATCTGAAACATCTCTATGTAGAAAGATGAAAATGCATGCATTTAAGTTTAACACAAGTACAGTAGCATGATATTCAATTTACTTATTATCTTTGTCTGTAGCAGAAACAACATGTTACCATCTGAATATGGTAGAGAGATACGGATCTGGCTTGCCATGTACACCTCCCCACTGTGGCTGATCGTGACCTCAGTGCGAGGGTCCTCATTCAGGACCAGGTTCACTGACTGAATACAAGCCCCATCCAGATTCTACAGTACAACACACACACACACACACGCACACACAGACCTGTAGAGGCATTGTAAGCACTAGTGAAGAATAACTAAACAGGGAGGGCAACATATTGTATCTAAAGATTCAATTTTAGATAATTCATTAATTATGTAGTTCAGAAACTGGGCATTTATTCATGAGAGATCAGAGATTGTGAGGAAATTTGAATTCATGTGTATGCTGTTCACATAGATATGACCCACTCTGAGGCTGAATTGCTTCATTCATGAGGCTACAGACACTACCAAGTGCAGTTTGCCCAAAAACAGATCTCTCAGCAAGCATTTTACTGAAATGCTTCTTTCTCTGTTTCTCTCTCTTTCCCTCCACTACAAGGTCTTTGAAAGTCATTCGCAGCTGTCAGAGATAAGCTGAATGACAGATTCCAGACAGAGACCTAGTATACCAAGGTGCTTCATGCAAATTGAGTTTAACTGTCATCAGCTCTGAGCTTTAGGAGATGGCCACTTTGAGAAAAAGAAAGTTTTGAGCCTTTCGATAGTCTATCAAATGTTGAAGCACACAGCATTTCAAACTCTGTTTCATCTTCACCAAAGAGCTGTGAAGGAGCAAAAGAAATCTGGCAGGCATCTCTATTCCATAACTATTTACTAATCTAGTAAATGTATGTGTTCTACTTCCTTTTGTTCCAGACTACCAAGATGGTTTCCTTCACAGCTAGTGGAATGTTCCCATTTGCTTGTTTCTTTGGCAAGTACCAATTGTAAAGAAATGCTTATCTTCCTTCCCATCCTTGTCTTGTTGAGGAGTTGAGGAATTGCATTCAAAGGTGGTCAGTATAGCTCTGTAATCATTTGATTTTTGCTAATATAGTGTGTTGATGTGTACATGAGTGACAGTAATTCTAATAATTCTACAGGGTGTCCAAAGAGTCAAGAACCAATGAGAGCACCAAGAAGTACCAAGAAGCACTATCTCTATCCTATCCCTTTTATCAAATGTTAATACCATTTTTCACCTGTAAGGAAACGATAAATACAAAAATAAGTGGAAAGAAAGAAAGAAAGAAAACAAAATCACATATATGTATGTGATCTGAGTTAAAAGCTTGGTGAAACCTGCAAAGACTACATTCTCTTCACATATAACTGTGTTGCCTCCCAGAACAACACCAGTTTTTATCCGCAGGCCATTTGGCCTATCAATAACTCTCACTGCCACTCCTACAGCATGTACAACTGACTCTGTCCAGTGAGCCTTTTGCACGTAAAGATAAAACATATTGTATCACGGTCTATAATTGCATTATATTTATATTTATACAATCTGACACCGAATGTCTCTATTATTGTACAAGTGCACTACAGCCTACCTATCTCACATTAGTACTTGTAACATATTTCATTTCATACTTGTAATATATCACACTCCACCTCTACACCTCACAGCACAGTGTAATTTCCAACCATTTTATAACACAATCTGTACAGTATCGATGGTTTATTTGAAGGAATGCAGAGGAAGAATTTCATTGTACAGTGTAACTGCCTGCTTTTATTGTGCATATAACAATAAACTCTTGAATCTTGAATCTTGACTTTTCGGACACCCTGTAATATTTGACTTTTTTCTCCTGTTTAACTTTGTCGTGGAATGTACACATGACCTACTCTTTGACCGGGCACTGTGGAGGCAAGTCCATTCAACAAGTCAATTAACTTATACTGTGTGAAAACTTGTCAACAGGCGTGCAGGAAGTCCTTTAAGCAGGGGCTGCCCATTTCCCACTGGTGTGCTTGTGAGAAAGAAATTGCTTTGTGCTATTCACTGGGGTGAGGGTGAGCATTTTAAAAGGCAGCAAGTTCGTCTGTAGCTGACATTTCAAAGAATCTGACAACTCTAAAACAAATGTGGTTTGCATTGAAAGGGAAGCATTGATACTAATACTGGTATTGTAACAGTATTACTATTGGCCCTATACTGCGCTCAATATGCGCCTATTCCACTGTCTCATACCAGGTGATGCTACTGTGGATATAAAAAAAATTCTAATCACATTCAAACTCATGTTCAAAAGTAATTATCATATACCTGTCATCAGTGAAGTGATTCTGATTAACCCCAATTAAAGATCAGCTGTTTACGTAGGATTTTCATGACCATGGTCCACTAAGAACTTACAAAGCATGTACAGCCTCTCATTGTCAAAAGGTATGGACCAGGAAAGGGGCACAAAAGAATTTCTAAAATGATGTACCATGGAACACCGTGAAGGTCATCATCAACAAGTGGAGAAAATGGGGCATCACAGTGACATTACCAAGTATAGGACATTAGTCCAAAATTGATGAAAGAACAAGAAGAAAACTTATCAGGAAGGCTGCCAAAAGACCTATGACAACATTAAAGGAGCACCAGGAACATCTAGCAAGTACTGGTCACTCCCTGCATGTGACAAAATTCTCTCACATTCTCACATGTCTGGGCTATGGGGTAGGAAAGGGATAAACGGAAGCCCTTTCACACGAAAGAAACATGCAAGCCTGCCTAAACCACGTGGCAAAATGTGTTATAGTCTGATGAGACCAAGGTAGAACTTTTTGGGCAGAATGTGTAGATCTTTATATCCACTGTATGTGATCCTAGGGTATCTTGCCATTCTAATGAAGAGAGGACACAAAATGAAATATGTCCAGAATAATCTGGACATATTTCATGATTAATAATGGCAATAAAAGCAAAGCAGACTGCAAACTGTGCTAAGTTTGAACACCTTGGGATGAATTGGAACACCGACTGTGTGCCAGGCCTCCTCACTCCACATCAGTGCCTGACCTCACTAATGCTCTGAATGGGCAGAAATTCCCACAACCACATTCCAAAATCTAGTGGAAAGCCTTCCCTGAAGACTGGAAGCTGTTACAGCAGCAAAGGAAACTTTGGAATGTTCAACAAGAACATATGGGTGATGGTCAGGTACCCACATACTTTTGGCCACATAGTATAACTAATGTAGCAGGCT